GGGTTTAGGGTTCTGGGTTTAGGGGGGTACTATAGTGGCCTTAGTAATTACCTCTACTATTCTGGGGGTTCCTCATTATAATCATAGTATAGTGGGCACCAAAACCCTGTTCTAATTTTTCAGGCCCCCACATTAGGGTTTAGGGTTCTGGGTTTAGGATTCAGGATGGTTTAGGGTTTAGGATGTTTTTTTTGTTTAGGGTTTTGGGTGTTGGGGATAAGGGGCTCTATAAGGAGCGGTCCTCTAAAGGGTCATTCAAGGAGTTTGTCAGGGATTCTTTGGGGTTTAGGAATCAGGGTCTCATGAACAGATTTAAAACTTAGGGGCTGAGTAGATAACCTTTAACTTTTTGGGCTTATAGACCCTAAACCCTAAACCCTAAACCCTAACATTTTGGGGCTTATAGAATCCTACTATAATTCAAAAAGGTTAACCTTTTTTGGGCTGGGGTACTCAGCCCCTAAGAAAAGGAGCTTTTGAGGGTTTAGGAGCAAGGGAGGTTCCTGTGAAGGGTTTAGAGTTTAGGGGTTTAGGGTTTAGGGGTTTAGGGTTTAGGGTTTAGGGGTTTAGGGTTTAGGGTTTAGGATTCAACTTAACGCGTGCCTTCAGGGTTTGGTCTAGGACAGTTTCAGGTAGGTAGTTCCCGTTATGAGAGCCTTATATAGAAGGTCTATAGACCTTATAGAAGCCTTATAGAAGCCCTATGTACCCTAAACCTTCCACCTGTAGTTTCCTTCAATTTGGGGGGCGGGGGGGGGGTTCTAGGGTTGGGGTCAACGTTGGTTTTGTGTCCAAAGCTTCCTTAGCAGGCGTTTCAAAGGGTCTGAGAAAGGGCTCTGGTATCGTGGCCAAACCCTAAGCCCGAAACCTTAAACGCCTAAACCCTAAACCTTATGTAGGCCCTAAACCCTAAGCCCTAAACCCTATGTAAGCCCTAAGCCCTATACCCGGAGCCCTAAACCATAATTAAGCCTTAAACTCCTAAACCCTAAAGCCTAAACCCTAATTGAGCCCTAAACTCCTAAACCCCAAACCCTAAAGCCTCATCACTTAGCAATGGTATTCCTTGGGGCCTCATCGTTCTTCGCCATGGTTACACTGTAATCCCCTATATTACCGCCTTAAAGTTCTTCAGGGTTTCGGGTTTAGGGTTTATAAGGATTTAGGGTTTAGGGTTTAGGGATCCCCTATAACGCGTCTCATTCGGAGACGATGTCCACACCAAGGGCATGCGTCTTTTTTCGGGGTTCATGGGTTCCAGGCGGCTCTCGAACCCCCAACCCCAAACGCTGAACACCCTAACCACTACACAGTTCGTTTTCGAAAACAGATATCGAAGTGCCCTTGAGGAGCTGTAGTTGAATTAATGTCGGCGTAGGCATATATGTTAATAAAATACTGTCTCCCTCGTAGTCCTTGTCTAGTTCTACTATAGCACTTATCATACCCCCAAGCCACGTTTCAACTACATAGACAGACACGAGGGTTTGGATGTTTGCCGTAGTTTCGATTTTCAAGTCCGAGAAACCCCCAACATACACTCCAAAAGCCCTCGATAGCAGCATCCTCTCATACAACAACCCCCAGTAAGTAACTCCGATTTTTGACAAAGCCTGTATGTATGTATATATGCATGCATACATGCACGTATGTAT